AGGGCCATGGAGAAGGGGAGGGGCAGGAGGGTGTGTACACAGATGTGGGGTGTGAGGGTGCCGTTGGCCACGATAGGTCATTGGGCAGGTTGCTGGGAGGGCCCCAAGATCAGGCCAGGGATCTGAGAGTCCATACATRCGCAGCAGGGAGCTTTCAAACATGGCCACCCACGCTGCCAATGGCAGGGGAGGCATCCTATGGCTTCAAAGCTTGGGGTAAACCAGCTCCTGGGGGGCGTTGGGTGTGCGCTCTCAGACCCTGGTGATTGCTGGTATAAACATCTAATTAGTCAACTCAGCCCCACCCCATTTCTGTGCACTGTGCCCCAGGATCCCGTGTCCCTCCTCCACTGCCTTAGGAAAGGAGGCCACGGAGAAACAAGAGGAAAGAGGTCACTCAGCCTTTAAATCTCAAAATAAGCTCTGGAACCCTCAGCAGGGATGACAGGTTGAGACAATGTTCTCGGTCTCCCAGCCTGACTGCCMGAGAGCAGGGCCTGGCTCCAGTCCTCACTGCTGCGGGGCCCAGCAGGGAGGGTGGAGGAGAGGGAGCATGGGAAGCTTGTGTTCTTGTGCCTTGGTTTCCTAATCTGTAAAGGAGGACAAAAGCACCCACCTCATGGTGTGCTGGGAGTGAGCAGCTAGCCCGGGGCCCAGGCATRGTCAGTGCAGCTGGCCCCCTATCAGGTTCCGCTCCCCCATTCCACCAACCACGGATCAAAAATATTGAAAAAAAGGGCTGGGGATACAGCTCAGTTGGTAGAGAGCCTGCCTCACATGCACAAGGCCCTGGGTTCAATCCCCAGCTCCACAAAAAAAAAAAAAAAAAAAAAGAAAAGAAAAAAAAGTGTCTTTATAAGTAGCTTGTGTTTGGGGACTGAATGTGTTCAGAACATAAAATTTCACAGGACAACATGAATTAATCNNNNTGCCTCACATGCACAAGGCCCTGGGTTCAATCCCCAGCGCCACAAAAAAAAAAAAAAAAAGAAAAGAAAAGAAAAGAAAAAAAAGTGTGTCTGTACTAAACAGATACAGGCTCTTGTCATTCCCTAAACAATATAGTATAACAGCTGTTTACATCCTACTTACGTTGGGTTAGGTATATAAGTAACCTAGAGATCATTTAAAGTATGAGTAGGATGTGTATAGGTTATATGTACAAATTCTACACCATTTTATATAAACTACTTGGGCATCCTCAGATTTGGATATCTGTAGGGAAAAAAATCTACCTTGGATATTGAGAGGAACCAATCCTCCTCAGATATCAAAGGATAGCTATAACTTAATAAATATTTTATTATCATTATCATGGAGAATAATATGTCCAAGGCAATGCCCCAAGCCCTGCAGCCCCAGTATGGGAAAAGACAACACTCAGAGAGAGGTGTGGAAGGGCGGCCCACCTCTGCATAAGCTATTGGAATATACAGTGACGGAGGACCAAATACTCTGGAAAAGCTGCCCTGGCTGAGATTTCCCTGAAAAGGCTAAAACGAAGGCTCTGCCATCAGCCCGTTTGCACTGCTAAATGTGTGGCCTCCAATCTGGATGCCAGCTGCAAGGCCACCTGGAGCAGGAAAGGCTGTCTCCGGCACAGCATCCGATTTGCTTTCTGGACAACTCAACTGGTGCTGGTTCTAGTGGGAGTGAAGATTTGAGCCTATTGGCAGCCCCCATCTCTGAGATAGAGAAAGTCGGGCCCTGCTGGAACGTCTGAGACCTTCGATCTCATGTAGGTCCCTTCTCATGTCCTCCTCATTTCCTTGGTCTCCTTCCCCCTTTCCTGCTCGCCTTCCTTGGGGTCCTCCCCCAAGATGCAATTCTTCACCTCGTTCCTGCAACCGAACCAACTCACGCCCTGGAGCTCCCGGGCATCTTGGCCAGGCTCAGGCAGTGCCGTTCCAGGAAAACCACATGGTGTGACTGGCCGGCTCCTTGCCTCTGCGGCCCCACAGTGCTGCCCACTGGGCCAGGCCAGCTCTGCCAGGACACCTGGGAGAAGGCCATAGTTGACGTGACAGAAAGAGACTGGGAGAATGCTGTTCTCTGGAGAGCTGCCCTAATCTCCCATTCATGGATTCATTGAGCTGTCACTGAAGGTCCAGGTGGCCCAGAGTTGGGCAGGTTTAGACCTGCAAGTGATGGCTGGGCTCAGTGCCTGGCAGACAGTGCCCTTTGCCCAGGCCCACTGAGATGGGCCTCAGGGCATCTGCCACCCAGCAAAGTGCCTGGCACGTAGRGGCGACGCTTCATTTTTACTGAATTGAAATGATCAGGAAGAAAGAAGGCGCTGCCATGTGTTCCGGCAGAACCAGTACTGTCCTGGTGCCACAGGCAAATGGCCGGGCCTAGAGCCTTCCTCCCACCCCTTTAGAGACTTACAGGAGCACTCCCTTAGCTGCCACAGGGCAGATGGGAGCCCCCAAAAGGGGGCTTCCAACAAGGTCTCTGGGAACTCCCAGTGCCTGTGAAGCTTGCAGGCGGGTGCAAGGCTCTGGGGAGACTCCAGTCATCCAGAAAGGCAGAGAGAAGTCAAGACAGTAGACACCAAGTGCCGCCCCCAGTTGCACTGGGCACTCGGGCCCTCATTCCCCCAGCTGCTCCTATGGCCCCCGAGCCCCCATGCTGGACTTCAGCCCTCTGCTTTCTTCTCTTCCCAGCAAGGGTCGGTAGGCATCCAAGGGGGCCTCTGCCCCAGATTGGCTCCCAGCAGCTGTCGAGTGATCCTTGAGTCGTGGACAATGACAGGGCACTTAATTCACAAAGGGAGCTGTTCTGGCCACAGGTTTGGAGAGCGAATCATTTCAGGGTGAAGTGGATTAGTTATTAAGGACCTCTGTTACATTTTGGATCTGAGTGTCCCTCAGAAGAGCTCATGTGACAGTGCAGGAATGTTCAGAAGTGAAATGACTATGGATTATGCAAGCCGCAAGTTAAACCGCGCGTTAATAATTTGAATGGGTTACTAAGTGGTAACTGTAGGCAGGTGGGGCATGACTGGAGGAAGTAGGTCACGGGGCCCTTGGAGATTATATTTTATCCCTGTCGCTTCACATGCACTTGTTCACTCTCTCTCCACCCCCACCCTCTCTTACCTGGCTAACATGAACTGACAGCTTTCCTCTGCCAAGTTCTTCCAGCATAACGTTCTTGCTCACCTCAAGTCCAGAGAAATGGAGWCGGCTGACCATGGCCTGAATCTCTGAAACCTTGAGCCCCAAATAAAGATTTCCTCCTCTAGGTTGTCCTTGTCAGGTATTTTAGTCACAGTGATGAAAAACTGACCAACAACATCCCAGTGGATTGAGACTCCTTCCCCAAATGATCAGGCCCCCGCCATGGATCCTGTTGTTGCTGAGGCTGCAGAAAGGAGACAGCTAGAGGAGGGTCCCATGCACTTGGCCACAGCTTTGGCTCAGGAATGCAGCTCACAAGCCCTCCCTAGGGTCCCATCTTGGGTGATGCCTCTCACTCACCCTGCAGTCTGAGTGCTTCAGGAAGTCCTGCCTCTCCAGCAGCTTATCTAAACCCCAGCAAGTGCAAGGGCATCCATGACCCCTCAGGCAAATCCTGTGCTCCTGTTTGCTCTTGTTTTCATAAAGAAACACTAGAAAGAGATGCAGGAAACCAGCAGGGCAGGAGGCTGCGGGCTGAATGGGGATGGGGTAGGAGGAAACTGCTTAATGTGTGTCTTTGTGGTTTTAATATTTTTTTTTTTTGTACCAGGGATTGAACTCAGGGGCACTCAATCACTAAACTGCATCCCCAGCCCTATTTTGTATTTTATTTAGAGACAGGCTCTTACTGAGTTGCTTAGTGCCTCGCTTTTGCTAAGGCTGGCTTTAAACTCCTGATCCTCCTATCTCAGCCTCCCAAACTGCTGCTGGGATTACAGGCATGTGCCACAGTGCCCGGCATCCTTTAGGTTTTGAACCATGTGACCACTGCCTATTCAGAAGAACAGAAACATGCTTAAGGAGTCATGAACAGAGAGCTGTTGCTCTCTCTCTCTCTCTCTCTCTCTCTCTCTCTCACACACACACACACACACACACACACACACACACACTTTGCATTGGACCATTGTTATAGTCCTGAGCCAAACAAACCACCATCTCCATCTTCTGGTGCTTGGATTATTACAAGAACTTCCTCGTGTCTTCCTGCTTTCACTCCCCACCACCACCACCCTATTTCCTAGTCATTGTCTAGTTCCCACATCCTCTCCAGACAGATTAGCCATTTGCACTGATTTCCCACCATACTTAAGAATGTCCACACTCTGGACCCCACCGGCCCAAGCTCCCTTGGGCCTAGCTGTCCTGCTGGTCCTCTATGGCACCAGGGATCCCTGGCTCTGGGCCAGGCCCACATGTTTGCGTTGCTCACTCCCCCACCTTGTTCAGGATCCTGAGTCTCACTCCCTCTGGGGGCTCCTCCTCCATACCAGGGCAAACCAGCTCCCCGCCCTTAGCTGCCTTTGCTGTTGCTCCTCACGGCTCCCCTTCCCTTGCTTCACTGCAGAATCTCCAGCTCATCCTCTGAATAAAAGGGTGGATGAGCCAAGGTCCTGCCAATCCACTCCCTGGCCTCTGGGTAGCTTTAGAGTCCAAAGTTCCTGAAGACAAAAAGGAAATTTCTAGCAGATAGAAGGCAGGTATAGTGGCTGCCCTGGAAGGATGATGATGTGGAGGCCCCACCCAGGGCTGACCTGGGCACCTTGAGTGCTCCTCTCAGAGCCTCAGTCCAAAAATAACAGCAGCAGCTAGCAGCTATGATGCACTTGCTGCATGTGCTCAAAGGCACTGCTCTGTTTGCAAGGATGATCTCACTTCATTCATAAGAATCCTTCCAACAGCCCTAGGAGGGGGGTCCTCTTCTCCCTGCTTACACAGGGGAAACTATAAGCTATGTCGCCGGAGCTCGTGTGCTACTGGGCAGAGTTGACCTATATTGTCACCCTCTCGTGCCCTGGAACAGAGAGGTTGAGCAGAAAGGTGATAGGAGTGAGTGTCCCCACGAGCCCAGAGACAAAAGCAAAATGACAGGCTGCAGAAATGACACATGATTCAGGCTCCAAAAACTGACATTTATCTCTAAAGGGATGTGAGGAACAGGCTCGGCATGGGACAAGGCAGGGACCCTTATCTCTCAAGCCCCTGGAAGGTGTTGTGTTTGCTTTTCTTTTTTTCCTTTTTTTAAAAACAATAATGGCACATTTAAAAAATCAAGTACTACAGAAAAGGGACCATGTCTCCAAGTCCACGTTCACATTGTCCCTCGCTGTGGCAGTGGACTGACTGAACACTCCATCCTGGCTGAATTCCAAACTCTCAAAAAACCATGCAAGTTCACTCCAGGAGCCAGGGTGCTGTTCTCTTGGGGCCCACTAGAGGGAAGCACCTGGCATCGTCCCAGGTCTCCTGCTACTCCCAGGCCCCTAGGTCTCTAGCGATTCCCTCTTCTCTCTCCCAATCAGAGCCAGGAACAGGAGATGTTAGAGAACTTATTTTGGTCCCCACAGGGGACTCTTTCAGGGACCGAGCCCTCCCCCGACCGGCAGGAGATGACACCCCAACCTATCCCAGCTCCCCTTTGGGAGGATGGGGTGTCTCTCCCAGTCCTGTCTCCAGCCTCGCAGACACCACACTGGTGCCCTGGTTCTCAGGCCCGTCCTACCCAGGACCCTCCTGCCACACCATGTGGCCATTCCAGCAGACACAAGAGTGACAGATATGCAGCCTCCTCAACTGGCCCCCACCAAGAGCAAGTAGGCTCCCAAACTGGGCCCTGGCTCAGAAGGAGGAGCTGGGTGAGGAGAGAGWGCAGGGTGAAGGGTAAGGATAGCTCCAGGTGGCCAGGTGGGAGGAGAGAAGCAACCGGGAGCTGCCTGAGGGGACAGGGCAGGCTCCCCAGGTCTGCAACAGGGAGGGGGGCCTGGGGCATGGATCAGCAGGCCTGGGCTGGGGAGAAAGGCAGAAAGAGGCTCCTGTTGGCCCTCCCATCCTGCCTCTGGCTACTGTGGGGGCACAGCCCAGGTGACAAGACCACAGGCCCCCCAGAGAGGAAAACACCACTCTGCACTCAGCTGGGTCTCAGTCCAGTCTTCTCAGGAGGGTAGGACTCCCCCAGCCCAGGTCCTGCCCAGTCCTGGCTCCCAACAGCAACTCCCAAGGGCCCCCTCCAGAGGCTAGCTGAACTGGTGACTAGTGGGGGCCTGCTGACCTGCRGCCCCAGGCTCCCCAGATCCAGCCCCTGGCCCTGCCCACGCCCTTGGCTCTAGTCTTGCTGCTCGTTCATTTCCATGTCAGACACCAGGATGTTCTTCTCTGTAGCCTCTCCTGGGCCTGAGCTGCTGCGACTGTAGCGGGCACCCTCGAAGGACCCACGTTCAACGCTCTGTCGCCGTCGGTAGAGGATGAGGGCCGCGGTCAGCAGGGCCAGGAGCAGCAGCACTGCCATAAGCACCACCACCAGGGCCGCCGGGTTCTCAGGGAGAGCTGCTGGGGTGGCATGGACATCAGGCCGGCAGCCCCGCCCGTCCTGGCGGGAAGGGGAAGAGCCACGGGGAGGACGCGTCCCAGCACTGATGTCCACTCACCTGATGGGGAGAAGCTGCGCTCCTCCGCTGTGGCAAGAGGGGGTCTGGTTAATGCCGTCATCGTGAGAGTTATAACAATAGTTTTTGTAGCGCGCTTCCTAAGAGCTACACACTTCACTAAGTCACTTCATCCTCGCCGGGACTGAAGTGAGGTAGGTACTGTTACCATTCCCATTCTATGTCTCAGGAAGTGGAGGCCACGGATCTCACTTCATTCAAAGAACTGGTCCCCCATCACAGAGCTGATCAGGGATGTGCCCTTAACCTCTACAAAGTGACAGGGGCTTGCTGTCTAATTTGGAAGGTAAGTCCTACAGCTAGTCCTTCCTGCAGACTAATGTACCCCAAAGGAAGATCCCAGCTGCCCCTGGTCTGTTCATGCCCTCCCACCCACAGTGTTCCCTGAAAACTCAGGAGGGCCCCCCTGGCGCCACCCCAAGACCAGCTTCATGGGATTGCAAGGGACAGGACAGAACGTGAGACTGCCAGGAAGCTCACTCACCTCGAGGGAGCTTGCAGACAACACCCATGGTGATGTTGGTGCAGGCGCCAGGGCGCCACAGCCCACTGCTGCTCTGAATCCAGTAGCAGCTATTGTGGCTCAGCATGCTGGGACCCAGGCCAGGGGACCCCCAGTTGGAGTAGTTCACAGCCGTGTTGTCCTGCCAGACCAGCATGCCACCTATGGGGAAGAGGGCACTGAGGGGATGTGGGGGCAGGGAGGTAGTTGGCAAGGAAGTCCTGGGAGAGAGCAGGGGTCCTCCAACCACCCCTCCCCTCCCTCACCAGGGCTCTTGCAGAGCAGGGCTTCTCCCTACACACCTTGAGCCCTGGCCCTCCCCAGCCCACACACAGCCCACCCACCTTTGGGGTTGAAGTTCATGCCCAGCCAGGCACCCCGACTCTGGCCCTCGGAGCTCTGTAGGTGCTCCCAGACAAACACATTCTCCATCTCATCCAGAATGGACAGGACTGACCCTCCCGCTGTGCACAAGGGAGGCAAGCGTCAGAGCAGAAGGTCTCCCTAGGGTGGCAAAGTCCCCCAGACCGGCTTYTCTGGCAGCCTGAGTAAGGATGGTGTGAATTCCAGACTTTCAGGCGTGTGTGTCTGTGTATCTGTCTCTGTCTCTCTCAGGAGACCATACTGTACATATGAGGTCACATAAGGTCTCTGTGTGTTAGAACGTGAGCGGGACCCTGGGGTTTGTGCTGCCCAAAGGTAGAGCGCAGCGAAGGGACTCCACCGCCGAAGGTCTCTGCCGCTCGGCCGGTGGGCGCGGCTGCCGTCCCTACCTCTCTGGCAGCGCTGCAGCGCCTCCTTGTGGCCTAGCAGCAGCTCCATGTGGAAGGAGTAGCAGTGCTCCCTGAAGGGAATCCAGGCCGAGTCCGCCAGCCCCTGCGGGCAGCTGCCGTGGTAGTTTATTCTTCGGGGCGGAGAGGGGCCTGCGGGGTGCAGGATTGAGGAAGTGGCCCAGCGTCCTCCCCGGGTCCTCCCATAACTTGCCCACGCACCTAGCCCAGCGGGTGGCACTCACCCCTGCTAACCCCACACACGGCCCCCTGCAGCTTGGTGTCGCAGCTGGTGGTGCGCCAGGCCCCATCCACGTCCACGTAGGCGCAGCCGCCAGGCTGCTGGGGCTCCCCCTCCTGCCAGCCCACAAAGCTCAGAGGCTCCTCTGAGACCCAGGAGTACCTCCGGGAGCCCTGGGCACAGGCAGCCATGGGTGGAAAGAAGGGGACAGTCAGGGTGGGGCAGACAGGGCGGGGTGAGCAGGGACGGGGAGGGGAGGTCCAGGCGGCCGGTAGGTGGGCGGCCAGGGCGGGAGCGAGCGCTGGGAGCCCACCTCCTCACTGGCCAGCCCGATCCAGAGTGGGGTGCGCAGCCCTCGGGCAGCCTGCGTGAGGAAGGCCTGCGTGTAGGGGTCAGGTACGCGGGCCAGGCTGGCGTTGCGGCTCTCACACAGCAGGAGGGCGTCATGCCAGCGCAGTGGCTTCTGCAGCAGCCGGAAGGTGCCATTGAGGTAGGAGAGCTCAGCGCCCGGGGCAGGGGGCGACGCTGCTGGGGATGGGCTCAGGGAGAGGTCTACAGGGAGGGGGGCAGTGCTCAGGCTGGGCCCTGCCTCCCAAACCCCATTCCCAGGCGTAAGGCTGGTGACACAGACGTCAGGCAAAGGCCATGTCTCTACCAAGCATGGGGCTTGGCACAGATTAACCCTAGGTAAGTGTCAGCCCCTGTTATTAGTAACACATGTTTTCTAACAAGTAGAGGAGAAAGCTAGGGCCTTCATCTACCCCTGATCAAGAAACCCAGGGCGGAGGGAACCCATGCTGGTAGCTGGCAGGTCCTGAGCATAAGCCCTGACGCCAGGCATGTTGGCACATCACACAGCCTAGTGTCTGCCTGTCTCTAGTGATCCTCCCATGCCCCCAAACCTTGCTCCTGAGTTCCCCAGTGCATCCCGCCTCTCTGCCCATCTGCCTCCCAAGCACATATATGACTCTGGGGTCCCCTCCTGAGGTAGGGGACCATGTTTCATTCCTCCTGCCATCCCAAAGCAGTCAGACCAGTCCTGGAGTTTCCAAGTTCTCTGGTGACACATACCCGTGCCCTTCTGGCAGATGAAGCCATGTGTCTCCTCTGTGCAGCTACGATCATCCCAGCGGCCAGTGAAATGGGCTGACGGGCTGTGCAGGACCACCGCACAGCTGGTCTGAGGGGAAGGAGCTGCTCAGGGGAGTCCCAGCAGCTGCCCCGTCTAGTGCCACAGTCCCCAAAGGAATAGCAAAAGGCTGAAGGTAGACCCCATGGCAAAGGCACCCCCGAATGAAGGCAGTGGGTACAAGAAGAGTGGAGGGGCCCCCTCACCAGTTTGTTGCCACTGGGAGCAGGACTGGGGCCAGAGGGCTCCCCTGGTGCCCAGTTGGCATACAGCAGAGGCTCCTGCTCCACCCACTGGAAGTCCCTCTGCGAGGCATGGAGGCCAATCCAAAGGTCAAAGTTCACATTGGGCAGGCTGGCTGTGATGAATGCTACAGTCCCCAGAAGAGAGTTGTGAGTGACAGCGGCAGCTCCTGCTTGCTCCCTCTAGCCACTTGGGAGGACTTTATTTGAGGACACCAGGGCCTCCCTGTGGGCTGGCCCTACCTTGTTCTAAGGGGTTTGCAATGGTGACCAGCTGGGCTTCTTGCTGTTCACAGGAGAACTGCGCCTCTGACCACTTCACCCGGTCCTGGGGGTCCTGGCCCTGGATTCGGAAACACTGAGGAGCAGAGCGGGGCTGTGATGTCCAGCTCCACCTTCCTGTACCAAAAACCCAGAAACCCCCACTGTGCACCTATCAGTAGCAGGTCCTGGGGAGCTTTGAAAATGTCAGACCAGGACATCTGGGTCTCCAGGAGCAAGGACCCCACGCTCCAACCTGGCAAAGCAGATTCACACGTGTGCCCGTCCTTTGGGAGATTTTTTAAATGGGAGGACTTCTTTGGGCCACCAAGCGCTCTCCTGCCCTGATGTCAGAGCATGGGCCAAGCACCCGGAAGGTGGAGACAAGATCCATCTTGATTTCTGCTAAACAGCTTTCTGAATGCTGTCTGATATCCATTATCTTTCTCTTTGAGCTTAAATGATCATCCCCAGAATATTTTCATCTGTATTTTTGAATGATCTTTGCTAAGTCTGTTGACTTTACATTTTTTTCCCACCTTTATTAGTTCCATAAGGTCAAAAGAACCCCCTATGGAAAATCTTTATATTGAGTGAAGAAATGGATGATTTTCAGTAATTTCCTGCTCTGAGATGGTGTGATGGGGGAAGAATGGGTATAAACAAGCTTTGAAGAAACAAAGACAGGGATGGGGATGGGGTGAGAGGAGGTGAAAGTCAGAGGCCAGCTCTGACTTTACCTTTCTGGCTTCGATGTACTCTTATGTATAGTAGGAATGAAAGTCCATCTTTTGGGGTCATCTGTAGGATTAACAATAGCTGAGCATGACAGAGTAGGCCAGTAAGTTCCCTCACCGATACCAATTAGCTCTAGCACCAACTTATTGATGTGGATGATGGATTTGGGATAGAAAATAGTAAAGCCTCCTGGGGATACAGGGCAGTGGTAGAGTGCTTGCTCCCAGCACGGAAAAAAGAATAGAAATTATATACCCAGAAATATGGCAAGAGGTTTGTTGTTGTTATTGTTTAGGTTTGACACCAAGTTTGCGGATTTTTATTTCACAGAAGTAGTTTAGAGTTGTGCTCAGGCCCTACTTAAATAACAAGTAGAATTAATTATAATACTAGAAGCAGCAAGGTCACAACAGCATAAGCAAGAAGTAACAGGGCAGGGGCTGGGGCTGTAGCTCAGAGGCGGAGCACTTGCCTAGCATGTGTGAGGCCCTGGGTTCAATCCTCAGCACCACATAAAGATAAATAAATAAAATAAAGGTATTGTGTCCATCTACAACTAAAAAAAATAAAAGAAAAAAAGAACAGGGCAAGTATATTAATTAGGATATTAGTACATTAAACAGTAGAGTCCCATCCCAGCAGCCCTGCAGCCCTGCTCCCCAGGAGCTGAGAGCTAGTGGGAAAAGCAGACTCAAAAGGCTTTATATACCCAGATGCTAAGGAGATACAAAGAAAGACACACAACTAGGAAAGCAAAGAGCCTGGGGGTATAGTGAAGGAGCCAATAAGCTTGCATACTTGGAAAGTTTCCTATGAGGTAGGAGAGTGACTGGCTTTAATATAATGATGCTGACAAATTAAGAAAGGGACTGATTACAAATATAAAATGTATTCATTTTAATTATTAGGTGGAAGAAGCCATTGAGAATAAGTTTCCAGAAAAATCTAATGACGTTGAGAGAATGCCCAAAATATGATACTCAGAAATAAAAGTAAGATATGAAATTGCATTATTTACTATGATCTTAATTCCATGGGAAAAGGCAAGAAGGAGAGTAATAAATATCAATATCAGTAAACTGATAGTGGTGACCTCTGGAGAGTATGGGTGAGTTTGGTTTTATTTTTTCTGCATTTTCCAAAGTTTTAATAATACATGTCTTATTTTTTCTTCTTTTTTTGTACAGATAAAATAGGGTTGGTAGTCTCTTAAATCTTCTAAGGAGGGTAAGGACTAAGGACACTAAGGCTGGCTGCATTCTGACGTGTAACAAGGATTTAGGGATTTTATTATCTAAAATTAGCTAATCTAATCCTCACAATAGGGCTAAGTGGTCTTAAAATGTCCTGCAAAGAAGCCATGGCCAGAAGTTAATTCTGATGCAATGATGCCCACATACAACAAAGAGATGATGAACTTCTCTTCCTGGTATAAACTCTTGCGTGGGAGGGGAATACTAGGGATTGAATCCAGAGTCACTCTACCACTGAACTACACCCCCAGCCCTTTTTTATTTGTTATTGTGAGACAAGGTCTTACTAAGTTGCCCAGGATGACCTCAAACTTGAGATCCTCCTGCCTCAGCCTCCCAAGTCACTGGGATTATAGGCATACACCACTACACCCAGCTTCCTGGTATAAATACTTCGCAATTCTAAAAAAAAAAAAAAAAAATGAAGGTCAAATCAGGTCTAATAAATCAGCCCATGGATGCAAAAGGAACCACTTTGAGGAAGATACATCTTGGAGGGAGCATTTTGAAAACATGGTTAGAAATACACTCCTTTTGATTAATTTAATTGCCCCAAACTGTTGTATCTGMACACTCGAAACACTCAGGAAGAAGAGACTTCCAAAAATGTTATTTTTCAAAAAAATCTTCCGACATTTTTTAACCCTCTTGATCAGGTCTTCTGATTCATTTTTGAGGCAGATGGGAAGAGAAAAATTTACTATGTAACTTTAAAACAAAACCTTTGTTTAGTGGGTAGACATCACAAAGGATCAAATTAAGATTCTTAAAAAATCATGAAATAACAGAAAGACAAGTACCACATGTTTTATTCACATGTGGAATGTAAAAAAGTTGTTCTCATAGAAATTAAGAGTAGGAAGGGGGTTACCAGAGGCTGAGGGAATAGGAAAGAGGGAGGGATGGGGAAAGGCTACCCAGTGGGTAGTAGTTATAATTGGAAAGAAGCTAGAAGTTCTGGGGTGCTTTTGCACTGTAGGGTGACTATAGCTATAATATGCTGCATATTCCAAAAAGCTAGAAGAAAGGATTTTGAATGTTCTCACCACAAAGAAATATTAAATGTTTGAGGAGACAGATATGTTTACCCTGATTTAAACATTACATATTGTATAATGTACTAAAACATCACATGGTACCCCATAAATATGGATCATTTTTGTTTTTATATATCAGTTAAAAAGTAAAGTTTAAAAATTATGACATCAATTTTCTGTTGCAGAGAAAAAATAATGAAATATATGCAATCACGTGGTTCTTATTAAAATAATTTTAACTATTTAAAAAAGTTTTTTTAGATGTAGATGGACACAATACCTTTTTTTTTTTTTTTTTTTTGGTGGTGCTGAGAATTGAACCCAGCACCACATCACATGTGCTAGGCAAGTGCTCTACCATTGAGCTACAATCCCAGCCCCAGATTATTTAACTTAATAATTATTATACTTGACCATTTGTGTGAGTTCAATTCATACCATTAATCATTTTTAATTTTAAAATATTATTTTTAAAATTTTTAGCTGATGCTTCAAATTCTCTTGTTCTTTTACCACATATAACATTAGTCACATGGGTGTAGAAGTAAATATGTATTTTATGGACACCCATGCACCTATGCAGAAATAAAATGTTTGGGTATGTATGTTCAATATTTTGTTTTACTAATAAAAGGGTTTATTATCAAAAAGTATGGCAATCACTGATCTAGAAAATTCACTGAAGATGTTGGACAACCTCAATTCCTGGTAGAATGACTACACTGTCATTTTCCAAGGAGGCTAGCCCTGGCACTGGGGACAAGTAAAAGACAGGAAGGTGGGTATAGGCAGACACTATGATTCCCATGGGTGCCCTCTCCCCACCTCCTACCTTGTTGAGGAACTGGTTCCAGCCCGAGGGGCAGCCTCCCTGGGCTGCAGGGAGGAGGTCAGGGGGCTGTGTCTCTCTGGTGCTGTTGCTGCGCTTGCAGATGTAGGGCAAGGCTGTCAAGCACTTCTGGTCCCCCCAGTCCTCTGTGAAAGGGGAGGGAAGGTGGTCATCCCCAGGGCAGGGCACATCATGGCTGGCAGTACTCTCTGCCTCATGCCATGAGAGGACAGACGCTGGGCTGGGGCTCAGGGGCTATGTCCAGCTCTGAACTCAAGTCCTCTGGCATGAGGGTCATGGAGACGGGACCAACCCTCTCTGGGTCTAGCCCTTCTTGGATTTGGGTACAAAGAGAATAAGAAGAGACTGATGGCCTCTGCTCACCTTACCACCCCCAACATTGACCCTCTCCACGGTGATGGCACCCTCTGTGTCCCCCACCCCCGTCACCCTCACCTCGGCTGGCTGTCATGTACACGCACTTCTTGTCCTTGCCAATGGGCCGAGGTTTGCCTGGTGCCCAGGAGATGAAGTTTATAGTGGAGCCATCTGACCACCTGCAACAGCACAGAATGGAGTGACTGCAGCACTGACCAGGGCTCAACCTCCCTTGTGTGCAGCACATGGCAGTAAGAGAAAGGGGAGTGGGCTCAGAGCTACAGAGCTCGTGCAGCCATGGATCCACGGGGTAAGGTCCAGCCCTCCCCAGCAATCCTTTCTCTAAGAAGCCTGAAAACCTGGGAATGGGGGATCCAAGAGCAAAGATGTGCTCAGATTCCCATGGACTCCCGGTCCTTCTGCTTCAAGCCACTGATGCATGGTGGGCACTGAATATACTGTCCCCTCTAAGCATCATATGTTCTGCCCACGTCCTGAGAGGCTTCCTTCATGATGAACAACCCCAGACATAATAGGAGCTGCAATTATTTAGGCCCAATATGTGCTAACTGCAGTTACAATGACTTCCCTTTATTATTTCAAATTCTCACAAGAATCCTAGAAGGCAGGCCTCATTATTCCCACTTGCAAGATGAGAAAAACAAGGCCGGAGAAAGGCCACACAGCCAGCAAGGAGCGCTGGATTCTAACGCAGGTCTGTTTCTGTGTGCGGGCAGCCTCCCCACCTCTAGCCTGGAGATGCGGCTGTTCATCCACGCATGCGCCCCTTCTCCCACCTGAAGCGCCCGTCGCCCTCGGAGGTGTGCAGGCCGATCCACCAGTGCTGCTCCTGGCCCCGGGAGAACTGGGGGAGCGGGAAGGGCGGGTGAGGGCTGGCTGCCTCCCTGCCCTCAATCCCTGACCTGCCTTCTCCAGGCCCACAGCCCGCGCACCCACGGCCTCTCAAGCCCACCTTCTGCAGGGTGTGTCCCAGGAAGTCCAGCTCAGCCTGGCTATGCACCGAGGTCAGCTCGGCCTGGAACCACGTGCAGATGCGCTGCGCCTGCGCCCACGTGGAGTGATGCTCGAAGAACTTGTACTCCGCGTCCTGGAAGCGCAGCCATTCCCGCCGGCCTGTGGAGCAGCGCAGCGGGTGGAAGTCAGGCTGCGACAGCCCCCCAAGCCCCGCATGTGCACCGCGGGGTGGGCAGAGCCAGGGCAGGCCGCCCCCCACCTCCCCAGGCACAGTGGCTGAGCACAATGGGCCCGGCTCCAGACCCTGCGCTTTCCCTCCCTCCCTCCCTCCCTTCCTTCTGTGGCTACAGGGCTGCGGTGTCCAACTCCCGTCAACTCAGTCCCCTTTCCACTGGAACCCTGCGTCCCCTGGGTTTTGTTCCTGGCCGCGGTGGACTGGGGTAGACTGGGGTCTCACCTTGAGGGCTGATGTCCGGATCTCGCACGTCCACGCCTACAGAACAAGGACAAAAAGGCTGCAGGGGAAGGAGACCCTCCCCAGCATCCTGGCCCCGCGCCCCTCCCTCTGGTCTGCGTCCCACGGTGCCACCCGACCCAACCTCTAGGGATCTTGCAGATCCAGTCGAGCTGCGTCTCGCACTGCATGGCCACCCACTGCAGGGAGGCCAGGTCCAGCACCGCACAGCCCCGGATGTCATCGTCGTCGTGCCGGCTCCGGTCGAAATTGTGGTAAGAAAACTGGAGGGAAGCAGGATGAGGGAAGAGGGATGTAAGGCACGAGGCGCAGGCCGCCCCATCCCCAGGACAGGGGGACACCGTAAGGCCTGGCCTGAAGTAGGAACTCCCAACCTGGCCTGGGTGTCTCCTCTCAAACCATTTTTTTTTCCTTTCTTTCTTTTTTTTATTTTTTAATTTTTTTGTTGTTGTTGTTGTTTGTTTTTGTTTCCTTTTTGTTTCCTGGGGATTAAACTCAGGGGCACTTACCCACTGAGCCATCTCCCCAGGCCTTTTTTTTTTTTTAATTTATTTTGAGATAGGGTCTCATTAAGTTGCTTAGGGCCTCGCTAAATTACAGAGGCTGGCTTTGAATTCACGATCCTCCTGCCTCAGCCTCCTGAGCCGCTGAGAGTAAAGGCGGGTGCCACCCTATCCAGCTCGCTTACCTTTTTACCCRGACGGCTCTCAGCTCTCTGGAAGCTCTACTTCTAGGAAACCCCATCCATTCCAGGCTTGGCCCTGCCCCACCAGACTCCACCCACAAACCAGCCCCACCCACCTTCTGATCCAGCGCCTCTGCCAGTCCACCTTACCCCTAGGCCATCGCTCCAGCGCCAACTCTGACCCCCTCCAGGGTCCCGACGGTTCAGGCCAATCCAGAACCAGTGCTGCTCATGGATCTCAGGCTCTGATTCACTTCAGCAGAACCCAGGGCAAGACAGAAGAGAGGAGAGGTGAGGGAGGTGAGAGCTGCAGGCATCTCAACGTAACACCTGACCACTCTCGTCTGTGACCTGGGCAGTCCCCAATGCCTGAGCCTTTCCACCTGAACTTCACACTGGCCCACCAAAGCACTCTTTTGGAAGGGTCATGGGGGTGGGGGGGAAGGGGTGTTCTTGTTTTGTTTTAGAAAAGTCTCTCCCTGGAGATTAGGACAGCTGGACCAGGCTCCCAGCTCAAGGCTCAGTGGCCTGGCTCCCCTTCCCTTGGCTTTCCCTACTCATCGAAGTGCTGGGTGTTTTTACTTTAGGCAGGTTAGGAAGCTGTCTGGCATGTAGCAGCAACCTGAGACTCTGGAGCTAAATAACCTGGACTCAAGTCCTAATTCACCCATGGACCAGCTCTGTGACCTTGGCAAATAACCTCACCTCTCAACCAGGGTCAGTGGAAAACGTGAGCTATTATAATTCCTAGTCAAATTCTTGATGATTGCTGAGAGAAGATATCCCTGGAATTAAGACTCATTGGGATTTTTCCTGATCTAAGGGATGACAAGTCTATGTGACAGAATATAGTAGTTGGGGCCACAGACCAGAGTTGGAGTCCTGGAGGGATCCCCGAGGGCAGAGCTGCAGCCTTTCTTTTCCCACTGGGATGGTTTTGTGATTTTTGTTTTTTATTTTGACCAAGGATGCTTAACCAATGAGCCACATCCCCAGACCTTTTTAAAAACTTTTTTATTTTGAGATCGGGGCTCACTAAGTTTCTTAGGGCCTCTCTTAAGTTGCTGAGGCTGGCTTCAAACTTGCAATCTTCCTGCCTCAGTCTCCTGAGTTGCTGGGAGTTCAGGTGTGTGACACAGGGCCCCAGCTCAGGATGGTTTATCATGGAGTGGTATTATGGGTTGGTGTAAGGCAGAGGTGAAATGCTTAACTTGAGTCAGGTTGTAGGCTTATAATGGAAAGTCTGCATTTGAGAGGGTGTTGCTCGCTCCATGAGGCTTGTGAGCACATGGAGTCTCCTATGAATGAATGGATCACACCAGTGTGTTTGCCCAGGTCTCCAGGGGACCATGACTATTTCAGAGGGACAGGATAGTCCTGGCACTAGTGGAAGATACACAGTTATTCCAAGCCCTCAGACAGGCTGTGGCCACCTTCACTCTGTCCACCCTGCCTCTTGCCCCACGCAGCCGAGAGTCAGCAGCCAAGGCTGCTCCCGCACATATACAGGCAGCCCCCTGTCCCAGGCTCAGTACCCAAAGATCTTGTTGAGCATGTTGGCTACAAAGTGCTCTTCCTCATAGCTGGCCAGGCTCAGCAGCTGGGCCCCCAACTCCTGGCAGGCCCCTTGGGCCTGGATCCAGCTCTTCTTGTCCTGCAGCCGCTCTGAGCTGAACACCTGCAAGAGCAGAGGCCAGCTGTCTAATGGGTCTCCACTGGCACCTCTCCAGGTGACAACTGCCACCCTCCACGTGGCAGCAAGAACGCAAAGTGCTTTGGCTTCGCTRGACCAAGGACAATCCTGCCCATCAGAGAACAAGCCCCAGGGGAAGGTGTCCAGCTCAGTCAGCTCCTGGAGAGAGCAGCTGTGCCCTGTCCCCTGACCAGTGGGATGACCTGGACTCTAATCCCAGCAGAKCCACAGCTTGCTGTAGGCAAGTCCCTTCCTCTCTCTGGACTTCTGTTTCTGCATGTAATAAAAGACCTTGGACTCCATCAGTGGCTCCCAAACTTGGCATATTACCATGCCCCAGCCAGACCTACTCAATCCAAATCTCCATGGCGACAGCCTGGATTTTTATTTTATTGTTTTGTAGTGCTAGGGCTCAAACTCAARCCCACGMATGCGARGTTAGATTTTTCTCAGGTTCTCCAGGTAATTCTGAAATACATTCTGTTCCCACATGTGGGAACCTCTGACATTGATGATCTCTACGGTTCCTTCAATTCCTCAAATGTTTACTGARCATCTACTATTTGCCAGGCCTCAGATTCCACTGGTGAGAGTTTCATCAGAAATTACTGCTCTCTGCAGTTTGGTGTCTCTGGATGGTGGCTGCTCCCCCAGGCTCCCCACGTAAACTGCCCCTTTGCTTTTTTCTATACCCCACCGTGCCAACAAGCKGCCCTACCTTGTAGCAGTACCGGAGTTTGGGGTCCGAGGCCCAACCCTGAGGACAGGAGCCAGTAAGGCTGGGTGTGGGGTCTGGCCCTGGCAGCTCTGGTGTCACTGGTGTGCCCAGGCTCTGTCGGCAGATGTAGCGAGCCCGGAACGTAGTGCAGTTCTTCACCTCCCATAGTCCCATGGCGCTGCCCGTGGCCAAGGCCACGCAGCCCCCACGGCTRTACCCTGATGAAGGGAGAGAGAACCACAGACTGAGGAGGACTCACTTTCTTGCAGGGTACCCCTGCAGTCCCGACTGGGAGCATGCTTGGCCATCTCTGCAAAGACAAGCTCTGTAGAGTCCGAGCCCAGGTGGGAGGAAGGAATGAGGCAGAGTCCTAGTTCTTTGTTTATTTACTGTGAGATCTTGGGTATGTTGTTTAACCTTTCTGAGCCTCTCTCATTATCTACCTCATTAGGTTATGGAAAGGGTTCAAAAAGCTAATGTGAGMCATGTGCAGTGGCCCACACCTGTAATCCCAGCAGCTCRGGAAGCTGAGACAGGAGGATGGAGAGTTCAAAGCCAGCCTTCGCAATGGTGAGGCGCTAAGGAACTCAGTGAGACCCTGTCTCTAATAAAATACAAAATTGGGCTGGGGATGTGGCTCAGTGGTTGAGTGCCCCTAAGTTCAGTCCCCAGTATGCGCCCCCTCCAAAAAAATCTAATGTGAAATGGTAATGATGCTAATGTCTATGCAGTGCACTGTATTGTGCTCACTATTCTGTGCATTTTACATATATCGTCCCTTTCCATGTGTTAGCACTTTACATATATTTAAGGCTCATGCAGACTCTTATGAGGAAGGCATCCCATTTGACAGGTGAGGACACTGGGACTCAGAGGATGCACAGCCAGTAAACAGATTGCCTCCAGGGCCTGCCTGACCAACAGGCCACATTGGACAAATGGTCACTACCCTGGGAAGCCCTGGAGCACAGACCTAGCAGGGCAGGCCCACCACGGCCTCCCAGCTCCCCCAAGGCCAGTCAAAGAAGGAGGCTGTCAGTACCATGGGGTGGGGCTCACCAGGCTGGTCCCTGTTCCAGTGGGTGTACATGACTTCGTCCCCACTGAGCCAGCGGAAGGAGCCGGTGCTGTTGAGGTCCTGCAGGGCTGTCCAGAAGTACTCGCCCTCCCAGTTGTAGATGAGGCTGCTGACGAAGGCCTGCTCGAACCTTTGGGAGGCAGCCTGGTCATGGCAGGGAGTCTATCCCCACTCCCTGGCCACAGGCCAGTCTCCCTGCTCTAGGAGCTCGGGGGATGTGCCTGGCCAGTAACTTGCTCAGGGAAGTGAGAAACCTGGGGGCTCGCGGAGTAACCCAGTTCCCTCTTCTACCATCCACACCCCTTGCCTTGCTGAGAAGGAAGGAGAGAAAATCAGACACAGCCAAGGTCTGTCTTCCTTGGGCATCCTGCCCACGCTTGTGCCTGCCCCTGCCCTGCCCACGCTGAGGTTGCCTAACAAATGACTCTTTCTTGTGATAAGATTTCAAAAAGAACTAGGAGCCCATTGAGTCTCAAAGGACTCCAAGTCCCTCTGGGCATGGTGGCAGGACACTACTCCGTTTGTGGGAGGGGCTACATTACACAGGTCATGGGCAAGAGTGGGTCTTGACCCCTCCTGTACCTGTTAGTGATGGTGACCAGCTGAGAGCCATGGTCAGTGCACAGGCGCCGGGCCTCACTGTAGGTCACTTGGTCCTCTCCCAGCCAGTAGCAGGATGGGCTGTGCCATGTCCAACCCTGGCTCAAGAGAGAGGACAGAAGAGGGGCGTCTTTGGAGAGRATGATGTTCCATCTTTGCCAAAAAATCCTGGGGCAGGGGATGCCATCAGGGGCATTGCTGGATGTGCACAGGATAGAGGTGACAGATTTGACCCCCGTGGCCATGCTGTGTTTTGCACCTGGTCACTCTCCCCTCTCCCACCACTACTCACAACTGTCAGACCAGGCTAGAAGCAAGGTCCCCGTGTGGCTGACGGACCCGACCCACGGCCTGGCTCAGAGAGATGAGAGGCATCTAAACCAAGAGGCACGGGGTGGGGGTGGGGGGTGCAGGAGTAAACTGCTGATTGGCTGGGAAACCAGAGAAGAAAATCTGGGGAGAGACACCAGCTTGCAGAGAAGGTTGAGCAGTCGTCAGGGCCTACAGATGGGGAGGAAGCGCCTGGCAGGAGGAGACCCTTAGAGACCAGCAGAGCCAAGGCAGAAGAGAAGCAGGTGTGGTATGTCTAAGTGTCCATCAGAGGGGATACAAAGTCCCCTGGCCAGGCTGAGTGTTAATCACAGCCACTCAGCACCCTCCACACACATACCAGGCGGGCCTTGGTGCCAGGCGGTTAGCAATTCCTCACCATCCCCTACCTCCACTCCACCCAACCCAGGACAAAGCCCCTGTCCCCACGCTGAGCACACTGACCCCAAGCTCCTCCGCTAGCCCCTGTCTGCTCTCTCCTTTCTCCCCAACTGATCATGCCCACTGGCATTTCCTGCTCCTCTCCTGGGGGAGGGTCTGGATTGGGTAGGGGGGACTGTAGTAAGGGGCTTAACCCAAAGGAAAACAGGAGCCAGACCAGCAGGGAGGGGCTGCTGGGAGGAGCGAAAGGCCACAAAGTATCCTTTATAACCCAGAGCCCCTGCCAGGTTGGGGGGATAGGGGTGGGGGAGCTGGGAGGCCTGGAGGAGAGAAAGGGGTGGTGACTCACTCTCCCTCTTTGGCCAGCTCACTGCCCTGTCCCTCACTCGCCTTTTATTCCTTAATCCTCTCCTTCCCTCTCTGAACTTCTGGAAGCCCAATAGGGCTGGGAGCACAGGAGGGAAAGGCACATCCCACTCCCCCAGAGGAGACAGAGAGGCACTCGCTGTGCCAGACAGAGGCCTGTGCCAGTGAGGCAGAGGGGGAGGAGGCCTGGGCCACAGAACCTCTGCCCACCATGACTGGGCCAGGCTTGGGGGGTCACCCACCCCCACTTCTTTGTTCTCTGCTGCCCTAGGAAGTGGCTTCCCCAAGGAGAGGGGCTCAGGGCTGGGGCTGGGGACTTCTGCTTCCTCCTCGCCGCTCTACCCTRTCTCACCCCATCCAGCTCTTTCAGGAGGAGGCCCAGGAAAGGGACACCAAGGAGGCGGGGTGCTGGGTGAGGCTGCAGGACTCCCGCCACCCTGCCTCTCCTGGGAGCCCCTCTGGCTGGCTGGCCCCACCCAGGGCAGCTCCAGAAACACCCTCACCTTCCGGCAGCCATGATCCTCCTCAGCAGCCCCCTGGCTCAGCTGACCTGCCTTCTTGCAGATGGATGGCAAGGACTGGTTACAGGGACTGTCATTCCAGCGACCTTCCTGGGGACACACAGTGAGAGAGAATTTCAGTCCCCTCCCCCTAAGTCTCCCTAAACCTTCTGGAAACCTGGTTTCTAGAAGTGGCYCTGCCTCTGACTTGCGTGATTCTCAGCAGTTGGCCTGACTTCTCTGTGTCTCAGGCCTTTCCATGCAGAGGGCAGAGTTGGCTCACCAGGCCTCTAGAGTACAGGGGAGCACAGTTCGTGAGAAAATGCCCTGAGACTTGACCAAGCACTGTCTAAATGGGAATTGGTGTTCTGTGAAATTATTTATGCCTCATTTTATAAACACTGATAACAAGCTGGCTAAGATTGTTAGAGCAACTAACAGCAAGGTAGACAGGACTCCCAAGGTATACAGTAGTCCCCCTTATCCCCAGGGATAGCTCCAAGACCTTCCCAGTGGATGCTATATATCCTCTGTTTTTATACCTATGATAAAGTTTAACCTACGAAATAGTCACAGAAAGAGACTATCAGCAACAACCAAGAGTGGAACAATTATAAAACACACTGTAATGAACGTTATTTAAAGTTCATGAAGTAGTTTGAAATTTTCCACTTCTTTTTGGACTATGGATGACCTCAAGTAATGGAAATCCTGAAAAGTGACCCCGCTGCTGAGGGAGTGACTGCTGGAGAACCAGGCAGATCAGGGGCCATGTGTCCAGAACCAAGCCTCAGCTGGGGAAGCTGAAGAAGCCTCTACAAATGTCTGAGCCCTGCCCGGTTCCCACAGCCTCTCAGGCAGCAGCATGTCTGCTGTTAAGCCCCATCCCAAGGGCACAAGTGACTGTGTGTCCTAGCATCCAGATAATGCCCGGCACAAAGGAGACACTCAATAAATAACTGTTTTTAAATTTTCAAACAGCATCCCCCAAGGACAATGGCTCTGCTGTTGCAGTCCCTGGCACTGTTAGCAGTATCTGAAACAGAGTGTCCTGTCAGTCCCAGGGATGGGTAACCTGTCCCTGTGGCTTTGTTCCCTTTTAAAGGGTCTCTGCTTGATACTTTACATCAATTYCTTCACCTAGGCACACCCTGTCTAAGTCAAAACCACAGCAGACAATCACAACCCCATAATTTCTTAAGACAGGACCCTGGGCTGGATAGGACCGATCCCTGGGGTCAAGGGTTGGCAGATAGCAGYCCTGCTTGTGAAGCCTTCACATCATGTGGGTTCTGATGCCACCTGCTGGTGGGGAGGAACAGCTGGCAGGAGACCAAGTGTGGGCCAGGCAACAGTGCCTAAGGCTACAGGAGAATTAACTCCTTTAATCCTCCAAAGGACCAGCGAGTAACTTGCCCTAGGTGACATGGCTAGCAGGGGATGGAGGTGGAATTCAAACCCTGGCAGTGTCTCATTTGGAAGGAGAGTAGGATGTCCTTCAGCTGGTGTGGGAGACCAACCTTACCCGTGACTGAGTCACACTCCCCGGCTGGCTGCTGAGGCGCTCAGTTGCAGAAATGTGGCAGAGCTTTCCCCACCCTTCTTGGGTGGGAGGGTCAATGTCTGGTGCATGGGGGTGTCTTCCTACAGCCCCATGGGTGGAGCTACGCTCACCTGTTCCTTTGTAATATAACCCCTTGCCCTGTTTAGGATAGAATCTCCCATGGAAGTGCCTTGTGTGTGTCCCCTTCTCTTACTGTGCCCTTGGGTGTGGCCTACCCAGGTGTCAGTCAACCTGCTGACAGTGGACATCATGAAGATAGACTCAGCCCCCTGAAACCTGACCCCTTGCCTCATTTGAATAGCTTCTCCTCAATAAAAGGGGTCAGCGGTGCTCTCTCTCTCTCTTTTCTGCAGACCCTTAAGGTCAGAGGAGCCATCACAGCGACCCCAAAGAAAAAGGTATTTGTGTCTCTTGTGTGGTTATTTCGTGCAGCCCAGTTAGCCCAGTTTAACTGGAGTGACCCCTGAGCCTTTTAGTCTCGAGAACAGAAACCCAGCAAACTGGGGTACCCCCAGGGTGGATTCTGTGGCCCTGTGATGGGGAAGGAGGATCTCACCGGCCCCCAGATGGTAACACAGTCCTCCAGACTGTCCCGGAAGTTGTTGGGCTCAAAAGGGTGCCAGTGGGTGAAGCTCACAAGGCTCCCGTCGGACCACTCAAAATTCATCTGTAGTTTCAAATCGTTGAGGCCGATCCACAGCTCCTCCACCTCTGGGGGTGCAGCAGGAGAGGAGAGGAGAGGAGAGGAGAGAGGACACTGAGAGACCAGCCTCAGCCACCATCAGAGACAGGACAGGATGGATAGCGCAGAGGCCCTGCCCTCTACCCTGGGCATGTGGCCGGGCAACCCCTCCCTCACCTTGCTTGATCTGCTTGGTGATGAACTCGAGCTCAGCCATGCTGTGGATGCTGAGCAGGTCGCCGCCACCCCGCAGACATGCCTTCTTGGATTCCTGCCAGCTGCGCTTCTCAGCCTGCAGACGGTAGCAGTGGCCCTGGAAGGGCTGCCAGCTGGGCTCACATTCCACCTTCACATTGGCCCACCTGTCTGYGGAGACCCACAAGGCCACTGCTCAGAGACCCAGCCACCCAGTCTGGGTACCAACACCACTGGGTATCAACCCAGGMAGAGCCTCCAAGTGGCTTCCTTCCCAAACCCATCTCAGATCTGCTTTCCACGCCCAGAACAGGCTTGGAGATGCTGAAGACAAAACCCTCCGAGGCTGCTGGATACCCAGGGTGGAGATCAAAGTGTTGGTGCAGACCCCACCCAGGACTGTATAGCGCCTCTGGCTGTGGCTCTCAGCAAGAGATGGGCATGCGRTCAAGACAAACCAGCCCCTTGAGCCTCAGTCCCCTCCTCTGTAAATGAGGTTTTCTGCTGAGAGTCGAATTTAGCTTGTGACCATTTTGCTTAATAAATGGAACTGCCATTATTCTCACAAATRACATTCATTGAGTGCAGCTCTGTGTTGGCCTAGGCAGTCTTGGAGGAAGACAGTAGAGAAAGAGCCTTGAGTCAGTAGTGGTGTAAGGGGACAGATGAGACCGGTGGGAATATGAGGTTAAGAGAATAATTCTATAAAATGGACCCACTGTGCTGACCCCTCCCCCCACAGATGCTTTGCCAAAAAGCAATCCACCTACAGCACACATGGCCTAAGTGACAGGATACATCAGGTTCCTCCACAAAATGAGGCAAGGGCAAATGTCGAGCAGTCTGAGTAGGTAAGAGAAAGGATGAGACTAGTATCAAAGAGAGAACAACAGGTTGTTAACCTCCCCAGTCTTGCTCCTGGGCACTCTGGGTTGCTAACAATTAACCTCCATGGGAAAGAAGGAGAGACAATAATTAAAGAAAGGGGTTCTGGGGTCTATAAAAGAGCAAGACACAACCCTTACACAATTCTGAGGCCCCTTTTCTTTGGAGAAGTCTGACTCTGTTCCTTTATTAAATMAAACTTGCTTTCTACATTTTCCTCAACATTTCTCGGGTATTTACTCTTCAACACCCAGGAACAAGGACCCTTCCTGATCTCCAGATCAGCCGGACCCAGTCCTGCCCACCAGCAGTCCAAGGTCTGGTGGGTGAGTGCATAGTCACTGCAAATTGGCTGCATCTCCTGATCAGGATTCCCCCGGCCCCTCCCACACCCCGAACTCCTCTCCCTGTACCCCAAGACCCTCTTTTGCCCCGACTTTGGTAGATTCCGAGTAGCCCTCTAGGGATTGGGGTCCGAGGGCAACTAAGGCCAACAAGCCCTCACTTGGGTCTTGGCAGAAGAAAAAGGAACTTCACCAAACCACCCACAATGTCAGGCTCAGGCAGGATTCCGCCTGACCAGGCGGGAAGGCGTGTGCCCACTGGAAGTATGGCCCTAGACTGGGATTCTGGGACTAGCTCCATCCCCGCCGACCGCCCCCGGCTCCAGCCATACCTTTTGCTGGAGACTGGGCAAAGTGGGTGGGCCGAGAGCTGGAGCGGGCTCGCTCCTTGGCTCAGGAGCTGTCATTCATCTCTTGTTAGTCAATGAGTTAAGACCCGAGGCTGCGGCCCTAGACAGAACTGATTTTCAGTGGCTGATCAGACCAGAGGGAACCTCAGAGAGGCAGGAAGGGAACTCAGGAAAAGAGGTTGCTGGGGCCATATGGACGCTTTCGGGGCACGGAAAGCAGAACCCACTCGAACAACTACTTAGAAGTATGCCTTGTTCAGAGAGCTGGGGTGAGGGGGAAAATCTGAGACCACCGACATCTGCAGGCTGGAGGAGGACTCGCCTTTGAGGCCATGTAGGAAAGACCCAGGGGACAGAGCCTGCATCTGGGAAGACCTGGGGTTGGTGTCTGACTCAGGTTTCCTCCAGCAAGAGGTGGGCACACCCAGGCTGGGGTTGTGGCTCAGTGGTAGAGTGCTTGCTTCACCTGTGTGAGGCACTGGGTTCAATCTCAGCACCACATACAAACAAATGAATAAAATAAAGGTCCTTAACTAAAAAAAAAATATTAAGGAGAAAATAAAGAGGTGGGCACCCTAGATGCTGCTCCTCCTGACCCTCTGGGCAAGGCATGACTGATAGTCCTGAATTCATCTTTGAAAAGACTTTCATGGTCCAGAGCAGAAGTTTGGCTTTTTGTTTTCTATGGGTTTGTGAATTTCTTTCTTTTTTTCTAGTTTTGCCATGTTCCTCGTGAAAATCCCCCCCTTATCAACCCCACGGCTAGCTGGACAGGGGCAGTAGCCCCTTCAGCCTACATAATAAACCCACCAGTACCTACAGAAATGCTCCTTGGTGTCTTATTCATGGGGGTGCATTCCTTCTCAATTTGCATGTGAGGACTCTGCCTCTCAGAGACAAGGCTGCTTGTCCAGGCCACACACTGCTAAGGGGCAGAGTCCCCAAAGCAGGCACTGCCTGTCACCCCAAACTCCCCCATCAGGCCCCTGGAGCTATCTCAGTGAATCACAAATGTGAGCTAGAAGATTCTCCCTGGCTTAAAACCCTGCAAAAGCTGCCCACAGCCCACCTGGCCCCACCCAGACTTTGCCCAGCAGCAGCAGCCAAGCCCCTTCAAGGACTGGCTGCAACCTGCCTTTCTAAACTTCTCATTGTTGTGCCCATAAGCTACTGCTACCTAACCACACCTGCACATGAGTCACCTAGGATCTTATTAAGTTCAGGTTCAGATTCAATTTTTTTTTTTTGGGGGGGGTATTAGGATTGACCCCAAGGATGCTTTAGACATTCACAGGCCTTTTTATTTTTTATTTTAAGACACGTTCTCTCTAAGTTAGTTGCTGAGGGCCTTGCTAAGTTGCTTTGTGATCCTCCTGACTCAGCCTCCAGAGTGGCTGGGATTACAGGCATGAACCACCATGCCTGCCTCTGATTCAGGTAACCAGGTGCAGGGCCTTCGGTCTGCATTTCTAAACAGCTCCCAGGTGATGCTACTACGCTGCTGGTCTGAGGACCACACTCTAAGAAAAGTCTACTCCCCCAACCAAACTGCGCGACTCCCCATGCCTTAGAGCCGCCAGGTGTGCGTCCGGGCTGCCATACCTTTGCACAGGTGGTTCCCTCTGTCAGAAATGCCCTTCTCTCAATCTTGTATGGCCTTTTAAACTTACATTCAAATGTCACTTCCACAAAACCTTAAATCCCAGAACCTTAATTAGCTTCTTCTCCAGCACTTCTTATGCATCTTTCTATAAAAGCTCATAACTCAGAATATTGTAACAGGGTGTAAAGATGTCTGTCACCTTCAGCAGACTGTGGACTCCAACAGGGCCCTCTCTTTCAGCACTTAACACAGTTCCCATCCAATGTTCCCCAAATGAATTCATGGCACATCCCAGTTTGTTCAGACTTTAGCCGAACAACCGAAGGACAACTGGGAGGAAGAGCGAGAGGAGAGGCGGGGCCAGCTGGGCCAAGGCCCTGTGGCTCACCTGGCGGGGTGGGCTCGGCCGTGGCGTTGGGCTTCTTCTTGCACACATAGGGCAACGCGATGCTGCAGTCGCGGTTCTGCCAGCCACCCGAGGACTCGGTGCGGATCACCCCACAGTTTTCCTCACTTGGGTTGTCTGGCTGATCTGTGGGGCGGGCAGGGTGCCAGCACCCCAGGAGGGAGAAGCTCACACCGTGGCCCCTGGAACCTTCCTTAGAGCTTTCTGCTTTTCTTCACTCCCTGGGAAGCCTGAGCCAGCTGGAGAAGTTCAGTCCCCGACTCTGGTTCCACCACAGGGTCCTCATGCTTTTTAACCTGGGCCCACATCATCCTGAACCCCCACCCAGCAAAGCATAACAGCCCCAGCCCTGGCATCCCTGGTTAGGCCACGGGTGCACTGGGCAGCCGTGAGTGAGGCCAAAATCTGATCCATCCACCAAGCCCTAGGACCTGGGGCAGAGCTGGACCATCTGAGGTAGAGGCATCCACTCCTAATTCACACCAAGGCACATCAAGGACCAGTGAGGCCTGGTCCAGGAGGGGGTAAAACCTGTGCTTCTTCTCCCCCCACTGCTTGCCTGGAATAGTATAAAAGGAAGCCAAGTGCCTGTGGTGTCCCTGTGCCCCCAACCCCACGCCTCACCACTCTCCCAGTTGAGGTACTTGAGGGGCGAGTTGTCCGACCACTGCCAGCCCCCGCTGGTGTCCAGATCATTAAGGCCAATCCACAGCGTGGAGCTATAACCAGTGAGGAGCCCTGGGAATAGGAGAGGCACTGAGAAAGGGGAACCCCACCTCCAGTCCTCCACATCCCTCCACTTGCCCTGTCTCCACAAACAGCATCCTTACCCCCACACAAGCAGAAAGGGCACAGGGCCCTTCACAGGGGAGCAGGTCTCAGGCTGCTGGCACCCTCTCCCCATCCCTGGGTGGGTCAGACCCCAGCCCAGCCCCAGGGGGCTGCCCACGGCCTCACCATTAATGTAGGTCTGCTCGTGGATCTCTGTGATGCTCAGCAGATCTGCCCCCTGCTGCTCGCAGCTGGCCCAGGCTTCTCTCCAGGACAGAGTGGACTGGAAGTTGAACTGGTAGCAGCTGTCGGTCAGCTGGTCCTTGTCCCAGAAGGTCTCACAGTCATTACCTGCCATCAGCAGACGGGCAATGGTCCCTCCCAGCCCTCCCCTTCAGCCCCACAGGAAGTCCCTTGGGCACTGCAGGAACCTCACTACCACCCCCATACAGGTGCTCTGCCCCGGAGGGAGCCCTACCTCACAGAAGTTCCAGGGCCCCTCATCACCAGCCTCCCTTCCAGCGCCTCCCCACCTAGCCCTGCTCTCACTCTTGATGGGGCAGAAGCCCCAGCGCTCGTCTTTGCCGTAGTCCTGGGTGGTTGCGCACCACAAGTGCCCATCCTCGCGACCCGTGCTGGTGCAGCTGTGGAACCACTGGTTGTCATATTTGAAGGGGATGGTGCACGGCTTCCCGTGGGAGTTCCCCTGGATGGTGTAGACCTCTGCGGGGGAGGAAAACCAGGCCCTTGGCATCTAGACCCCACAGGCTGCCCCCCATTCCTGAAGGAAAGCCCTTTGTAACTCCCAGAGCTGGGAGTGGACAGGGGTCAGCAGAGAGTGGGAGGGGACAACTGCACCAGACAGTGACTTTAAGGCTCCCTCTGCTGTTAAGTCAGCCCAGGAGCCTGGGAGAAGTCCACTGTGCGTCCCGTAGGGTGAGGAAGGAGCTTCCCCAGGCCCCCTAGTGCCTGTTCAAAAGCCAGCTGAATGAGGGGCCTCTGAGTCACCCACAGAAGGCTGAGCTCAGTGGCATCTCCGCTTAGCTCTCCAGCCAAGGGAGTCCGTGCTTCTCCTAAAAGCTCTGTCTTGGCACTCAGAGGAGTTTCCAGGAAAGAATACCAAGGATAGGGCCACAGACCATAAGAGCCCCCCACCAGGTGACTCCAGTCCTGTTCACCACCTGCAAAACCTGTGCAGGGTTACTACAGGGTCTCCCCTAGAGTGGGCCAGGGAGAAGGGAATTTAATTTTAATTTTAGGCTCTTCATTTTTGTAGTGTTTGAGGTCTTTATAAGCACATAATAATTTTGAAATTTAAAAAAAGTAAATTAAAGGCTTTGAAGTTAATTTTCTTAATTATTCAATACGCTTCCCATTATAATAAAAGATGTAACTGCCAAGGTCCACAGAAGCCAAAGACCTTCTTGCCTTGGAGTTGGCCCTTCCCTTCCTCCAGTCCCCCTGACTCCCTCTGCTGTTAAATCAGCCCAGGAGCCAGCCAGGGACCCACTGCCCCACCTGCAAGCAGCCCCTCACCATAGTAGGGCCGAGCACATAGATCCTCATCACTGCCGTAGATGCGCCACTGGCCACTGCGGGTCTGGTCGCCTCGTTCAAGAGTGCCAGGCTTGGATGCATTGCCAGCGCGGCCCCCCAGGAAGAGGGACAGCTGGTCACCCAGTGTACGACAGTGCCAGCGAAGACTCAGGGCCTCGCGGTCACACTCGTACATGCCCAGGGAGGTTGTGGTGTTGGTGCCCGGCCAGCCTGTGCCCAGGCACTGCATGGTGCCCAGGTTGAAGAGCCGGTTCCGAGAGACCCACTTCCAGCGCTGAGCAGGGAGACTGGCATTGCAGGCTGGGGTGACTCGGACCTGTGCACCCTGGGACTCCAGGCAGCCCTGCAGTCCATGGCTGAAGATGAGGAAGACATCAGACTCTAGAAGGAAGGCAGGAAATGAAACCATCATGGGGTCACTCTTTGGTGACTCCCACGGCCCACAGACACTGACACGTGCCCAGCCCTTCTCGTGTGTGTGAAATCACTCAGTCCTATCAACCCTTCCAGGCGGGGATAAGGGGCACTATTGTGCCCCTGTGCCCAGAGGAGGCAGGGCCCACCTCTTTCCTAGCCCCATGCTCAGCTGGAGGCAGGACAGTCCTTTATCCCACCCCAAAAGCAAACTGTATACAGAAGGCCTGGTACTGTTGACAGTAGTCCTCCCTGTCAGTAGTAGTCGTCATGGTTTCCCTTTCCTCAGTCTCTGTCACCCATAGATAACTGTAATCCTAAAATATTAAGAGGAAAACTCTAGAAATAAACAATTCGTAAGTGTTTTGGTTTTGGGTACCAGGAATTAAACCCAGAGGCACTGTGCTACCAAGCTTCATTCACAGTCATTTTTTATTTGAGATGGGGTATTGCTAAATTTTTTAGGGCCTCACTAAATTGCTGAGGGTGGCTTTGAACTTGTGATCCTCCTGCCTCAGCCTCCTGAGTCGCTGGGATTACAGGTGTGCACCACTGTACCTGGCTCATAAATTTTAAATAAGTTTCATTACAGTATATTGTTATACCTGTTCCACCTTCTTACAAGTCATTGTTGATCTCTTACTATAATTTAACTTATCATAGATATGAACATATAGGAAAAAAAATCAGTATGTAGAGTTCAGTATTATCTGAGGTTTTAGGTTTGGAACCTGTCCCTGGGAAGAAAAAGGTCTACTATACTTTTCTGAAGATGTTATGAGGAGTGGTAGAGGAGTTTACATAACACACCACATTGTAGCCTTAGTCTCAGTCTCCATTGCATATCATGGGTTTCCTCCGAGCACAGTGGCATAAGCCTGTGATCCTAGCCACTTGAGAGCTGAAGCAGGAAGATCACAAGTTTGAGGACAGCCTTGGCAACTTAGTGTTAAAGTTGTTAAAAATAACAACTTAGTGTTAAAGTGTCTCAAAATAAAAAATGGAAATAAGGCTGTAGCTCGGTGGCAGAGCCCTTGCCTAGCACAGTGAGACACTGGGTTCGATCCTCAGTATCACATGAGAATAAACAAATAAAATAAAGGCATACTGTCCATCTACAACTACCAAAAAATTAAAATAAAAAGGGCTGGGGATGTGGCTCAGTCATAAAGCACCCCTGGGTTTGATTCCCAGTACGCCCCCCCCCCCCGCCCCAAATCATGTTTTTTTCTGCCAAAGTTCTTCTTTAACCTAAGAGTACTTTGTCACATTCTTTCCCTTGTCCTTCAGCTTCACGGGTTCCATCCTTTCCTCTTTCTAGAATCTTCCCTAATCACTCATCCTCTGTGGTTCCCAACCATCTCATGTCTGATTTTTTAGACAGCGTGATCCAGCCCTCTGGCTTGCTCCGTTGGCATCGTCTCACCTGCCTCCTTGCTGAGCAGACCCTGGGGAAGGCCCTGGGGAGATCCAATCACCCGCAGTACCCCCTCTCTGTAGACTAAGAAATGAGGCTTGAGTGGATGGAGACAAGGAGCAGATCAGCATTAGAGTCTGGGGCTGTGGTTTGAGTACAGGAAAGGAAGGGGACTAAAGAATATGGTGTTTCTTTTGGAGGTGAAATGAGATTGTGATAGTTGTACAACTCAGTGGATGTACTAACACCCAATGAATCATACATTTTAAATGGGTGAATTTTATGCATAGATTATGTCTCAGGAAAGAAGAAAGAGAAAGAGAGGGAGAAGAAGAGAGAAGTCAACCAGACAGGACAGCTGAGGCTCAGGGACATGAAGTGACCTGCTCACACGTGACCCAGCCAAAGCGCAAACCCAGATGTCTCTGAGGTCCACGTTTCACACCACCTTCCTCCTGTGACCAGGCTGCCACTTAAGGACATTGCCCACTCAGTCTCCACAGAATTTTTTCATACCCTAGTTACTAGTTCCTCAGGATATTTTTCACACTTTAAAAACATGAATCACGCCAGGCATGGTGGCCCACCTGTAATCCCACCGGCTCAGGGAGGCTGAGGCAGGAGGATCACCAGTTCAGAGTCAGCCTCAGTAATTTAGCAAGGCCCTAAAGCAACTCAGCAAGACCTGGTCTCTAAGTAAGATATTAAAAAAGGGACTGGGGATGTGGCACAGTGGTTAAGCATCCTGGGTTCAACCCCTGTACCAAAAACAAAAACGATTCACACTGCTAGTGTTCAAATGCGCTCTGTCACTTAGTGGATGACTTGGGCAAGGGCTTAACCTCTTTGTGACTCAGTCTCCTCATCAAATGATGCTTAGCGAGATCAAGTGAGATAAGAGATAACGCATGTAGAGTGTTTGGGAGAAGGTCTGGTACATAGTAAGAGTACTGTAAATGTTCATTTCTGTCATTATTATTATCCTAAGTTAGAGGTAAAGAAATTGACTAGAAGCATGGAAGCAATTCGATGAACCAAACATAAGACTGGTAAGGGATAGAGATGAAATTTGGCCCCAGTCTCCTGAGACCAAACCTTAAGTTCTTTCTGTTGCCCCATGATGTCCTTATCATCGCTCTGTGGTCCACTCTCCGTGAACAGCCAGAGTGATCTTTTAAAGATGTAAATCAGTTCTAGAAAAAAAATTAAATAATATTGGAGCACTGAAGGCCATAAAGAAAATACTGATGAATTCTATAGCATGAGAATTATTTCGTGGCAGAGGCCAGGCATTGTGGCGCAGGCCTATAATCCCAGCAGCTTGGGAGGCTGAGGCAGGAGGATTGCGAGTTCAAAGCCAGCCTCAGCAATGGCAAGGTACTAAGCAACTCAGTGAGACCCTGTTTCTAAATAAAATACAAAATAGGGCTGGGGATGTGGCTCAGTGGTCGAGTGCTCCTGAGTTCAATCCCTGGTCCCCCCCCCCCACAAAAAAAAGAATTATTTCATGGCAAGATACATGCCACAAGCAAAGTCAAAGTTCAAAAGACAAAACTATAAGCAACTAATTAGAGGCCAAGAAATTTCCCTAATATAAAAAGAGCTTCTACCAAAATAAATTATGAGGTCAATATTAACAAAGCAATAGAAAATGAGTAAAAGATATGTGTAGAAAGTTTTAAAAAATGCAACTGGTTCTTAAATATTTGAAATGAAAATGCCACTCATAGTAAAAGGAAAATAAACAGCATAAGAGGTAAGTCTCCCTCTTGCTTAAATTCTTTCAAATGTGATTCATCATCTTTCAGATAAAATTCAAGCTCCTTACTGTGAACCACAGTGTTGGACGGGTTCTGGTCCTGCCTACCCCATCTGATCTCAGATCACACCACTCCTCCTTGCTCGAGCCACACTGACCTCTTTGTTCCTGCATGGCTCTTCCCTTCTCAAGGCCTCTGCACCAACTCCTCTATCTGGTATTTCACATTTCAGTAAAAGAAAGTCACGTCTTTAGAGAGTCCCTCCCTAATTTTCCAATCTACAGTAACCACAGTTACTCACTGTCATATCACTTTATTATAATTCTCTTTGCAATGTTTATTTCTGATTGTTTTCAGCATCTGGGCTACCTGTGAGTCTGCCATCTATTGACTTTTTTTTTTTCTCTTGGTTATAGGTCATTTCCTGAGACCTATGTGTCTAGTAATTTTTTTTTATACTGGACATCATGGATATATATAAAAAATAGATGTTTTTATGCTGGACACTGCAGATGATATGTTACAGGGAATTTGAATATTTTTTTTCTATCTTCCTATAAAGAACGTTGAGTTTTGTTCTGGCAAGCAGTTAAATTACTGTTGGATGCCCTTGATCCTGTGGAGCCTTGCTAGGCTGGGTTTGTTTTGGTTGTGCCTTAAGTCTCAAGGTGTGGCTTTTAGCCTTGGATTTAATCACAAGGTGAGGCCCTTCTGGAGTTTCAAAAGAAAACTTAGATGATTGCCAGGCCCCTCTAACTTGGTGGAACTTGAATTCTAAACTTTGTTCCTTAGCACTAAGCAGCACCTGAACCCTCTGCTCCCCAGCTGCTGGTTTTGCTGGGCTTAGAGTCTTACCCTGCATATGCACAATTTAGGGGTCACTACAGTTTGAGGGGAATTTGTAGGAAGAATCTTTATGGCTCTTTTCTTTCTTTCTTTTTTAAGTTGTAGGTGGACACAATACATTTATTTTGTTTATTTAGTTTTTTTTATGTGGTGCTTGGATCAAACCCAGTGCCTCATGCATGCTAGGCAGGTGCTCAACCACTGAGCCACAGCCCAGCCCTTTCTTTCCAGGATTTTTTCTCTCTAAATTTTTAGCCTTTCCAGTAGTCGTTAACTCTGGCCTCTGTTTTTTTGTTTTGTTTTGTTTTGCCACTTTTGATGAGGTCCTCAAGCTGGGAAGCGTGCTCAGGGCACTAAGCTGGTTCCACAAGCCACTCACCTTGTTTGCATTTCTCTTGCAAGGATTTTTCACTCCCTACATCTGGTCCCTCCAGGGACTCTCTCCTTCTCTACACTGTCGTTCTCCAGTGTCTTCAGACCACTACATTTTGTGCTTTCTCCTTTGTCCCTAAGTCTTCTTGGCCAGAGAGTTAGACTGCCACAAGCTCCCTGCCATCTCCAGGGCCAGAACTCACTGTCCAACACGTTGGTGGTTGTTGATTGTCCGTGTCTCCTCTCTTGTCCATAAGCTCCAGGGCTTTCTGTCATGCCCATCACTGTGTTACTAGCACCTGAAACCCAACCTGTCACCCCACGGTGCTTAATAAATAATGAATGAATAAATGCATGCATGAATGAATGAATCTTGTGTCCAGATAATGATCACAGCCAGCTCATCTGTCTTTCTGCTTCTTGTTCCACCTGTCAGATTCATTTTCCTAAAAACACAATGCTCCAGCTTCTGTCACTAAGTGCCTAAAACAACCTGATAGGAGGATCAGTGGGGCAAGGACCCTGTCCCTCTATCCACCCATGGGATAGCACCAGGTTGTGGCTTCTTGGAA